ACTTTGCATCCTTGGTGACGCAAACATGCTAAAGCACTCGGGTTTTCTAGTAGCAAAGTAATGAACACAATCACAAACACAGGCAAAGCTGTCACACTTTACAGCCATTTCTCAGACTTCCCACACACTCAAATACTGATTTCAGCTTTTGACTACTAACATCTAAAACATCTCAGCAAGAACGCAATTCCCCACATTCCTGTTCACAATAAGCATGGCTTCACTGCAGCGTAGCGGTAGCATGCTATGCTGATCTAATCACAATCACAGCAGCAGAGAGGAAGTGAGAGCGCGAGAGAGGCAGTTCTATTGTGTATTCTCTTTTTTAACAATGGACAACAATACAATGAGAATACAATAAGGCACACAACACACGCAGAATGGAAGTGTCCACAGCTGGAGTGAGGACTGTTCTTAACTTTTACAACTTGTGGTAATTTTATAGATACATATTAGTCGTTAATGTTTGTTGGAGTTTTATTGGAAATCCGATAGCAAGATAATATTGTATTAAATAAATGGTGCCTAAATCTGTTGAAAGGGGAATTCTGGCGATATAGTTTAATGGTTAAGATGTAAACAAAGTCGTTCAGAGTGGTTTGGTGTGAAATGCTCCTTTCTAGAGAGTCAGAACTGTTCACAGTGGTGGTGATAGGAACCAGACGTCCACCTCTAAAAGCTCCCTCACAGAAAGCTGCTACATGAAATGGTTATGACTTCATTGCCTGATGACTGAGACACTGTTTTAGGATAGTTTTGAGAAGATTTTGGCCTTAAAATCCATTCATGGTGGAGGGATACATAATATATAGGGTGCTGTGAGGCAAAGTAGTCCCCAAAGAAAGCTTATTATTTCAGATTTTCCACTATTTTCCATCATCAACATTCCATATAAACTCAGAAGACTCGTGTAGGTTCACTGGTGGTTCTGGATAGTAAATAAAATGTCTATATTTGTGTTGTAGTCATGGCGACCCCTGGTTCCTATCACCACCACTGTAAAGAAATCTGAACCATTTCACACCAAACCACTCTGAATCACTCTTCACCTCTGAATTATGCAGAAATCATTTGGAATGTGCTCTCATCTCTCTCTGCTGAAGCACTGAACACAAACAGAAGAGGCGGAAACCAGATGGACAGACAATGCGTCCAGTTCACAGAGCCCACATGCAGCGCGTCTCACTGTCCAGCCTACAGTCTCTTTACAGAGAGTATCCAAAGCAGCTGACGTCACCCAGCAGGTCCGTCGCCTCCTCGGGCTGCTTCTGCAGCTGCTGTGTGAGCAGGAGGACACCTGCGATCTGACTGACACGCCTGCGCACACACACACACACACACACACACACACACAGAGACACACACACACACAGAACAACAACAGCATCCAATTTCAAAACCCGCCGGGCGTCTGCACTACAGCTCCGTCTGCTCAATGAGACCCAGCAGCTGAGACGAGAGAGAATAATAACCTCTATTGTGCTCTGTTCTTTCCACCAATAGCAGCGTACGTACATACACACACACACACACACACACACTGTAGACACACACACACACACACACACACATATATATATATATATATATACATAAAGACATATATATACATATATATATATATATATATGTATGTATGTATGTATTGCTGCTGTCAGAACAAAACCTTGTACTCCATTAAATGGTAACTTTACAGGAGAAGGAAAAAACCTACTTTACTTTTAATGTAAGTCAATGGAACCAGACATTTTTACCAAATTATTTTGGGCCGTTTCTTTTAGTCCATCTAGCGTTAAATGTACACACAATGTAAAGGACAACAGAAATTTTCAAATTATGTCAAAAACTTAAAAATGACAAAAATGGATATACGAGGTTTTGTTCTGATAGCAGCAAGATATATTTTTTTCATATTGACATTTTTCACATATACATATATATATATATATACAGCGATCAGGCATAACATTATGACCACCTCTTTGTTTTTTGTAGTTCTACAGTTACAGACTGTAGTCCATCTGTTTCTCTGATACTTTGTTAGCCCCCTTTTACCCTGTTCTTCAGTGGTCAGGACCCCCATGGACCCTCACAGAGCAGGTACTATTTGGGTGGTGAATCATTCTCAGCACTGCAGTAACACTGACGTGGTGGTGGTGTGTTAGTGTGTGTTGCGCTGGTCTGAGTGGATCAGACACAGCAGTGCTGCTGGAGTTTTTAAACACCTCAGTGTCGCTGCTGGACTGAGAATAGTCCACCAACCAAAAATATCCAGCCAACAGCGTCCTGTGGGCAGCGTCCTGTGGGCAGCGTCCTGTGGGCAGCGTCCTGTGGGCAGCGTCCTGTGACCACCGATGAAGGACTAGAGGATGACCAACACAAACTGTGCAGCAGCAGATGAGCTATCGTCTCTGACTTTACATCTGCAAGGTGGACCGGCAAGGTAGGAGTGTGTAATAGAGCGGACAGTGAGTGGACACAGTGTTTAAAAACTCCACTCAGACCAGCACAACACACACTAACACACCACCACCACGTCAGTGTTACTGCAGTGCTGAGAATGATCCACCACCCAAATAGTAGCTGCTCTGTGAGGGTCCATGGGGGTCCTGACCACTGAAGTTGTAGAACTACAAAGTGCACCTATATAGTAAGTGGAGCTGATAAAATGGACAATGAGCGTAGAAACAAGGACATAATGTTATGCCCGATCGTGTGTGTGTGTGTGTGTGTGTATACATATATATATATATATATATATATATATTTATTTTATACATATATATATATATATACACATATATAAATGGAGGAACATTAGCATTCAAAAGCTGTTTATCTGGACAGTAAGTGTTTATTTGCTCAGATACCTCTAATATTACTAATAAATACAAATAACATTAATACAGTAAGTAGTGATTTTCTTTGTGTCAATGAGTTTATCTAAGCGTTTTCAAAGATCTCCTTGAGGAAGACCAGTATGACTTGTAGTTATTATCCAATACCTGGTTTATCTAATCAACACTTCATTATGTTAATTCCAGTCGTTTTTGATGGAACGTCTGGATGCGTCCAGGAGACATCTGGAACCAAACTTTGCTCTTCAGTCGAGCTTACAACCTAACTATTGTTACTTTTTACTGTATTTAGGTTTATTTGCATTTATTCTAATGATATACAGTGATTTTAGAGGCGAAAGCACACTTACTGCTGAGATAAACGGTTTTAATAATGCGTTTAGGTGCCCAGCACTATTACGGTGCTGTATATATTAATACTGTACTGTATATTTGAAACAGCACAATTCTTCTTTCAGCACGTGATTAAATACAGCAAAAATAAACAGTGCCTAAAAACAAAAACACGCCTTACATTAAAGTTTCCATTTTCAGTTTATTACTGATTTTAAATTTACAGAAGGACAATTTATTTCCAATACAATGGTGTCCTGGTCTAACAACAAGCCAAAGTGTTCACAAGACAGTCATGATACGACCATATGATAGGCTACAATATAATCCACTATAATAAAGTCTGATGTAATTCAATACACTGTACAGGTACATTAAAGGGCCCATATCCTATACATTTCTTGTATTTTATTTTTTATTGTACCTTTAAAACTGACGCATGTTAATGGGCTGTGTTCTGATTGGTTGCCTCGTTCAAAGCCGTCCACACCGTAACAATCCTTGTAACTAATGTAAGCAGGCAGAGCTGTAGTCTGGATAGGCGGACATATGTCAACATGTTGGTCTTTGTGACATCACAAAAGAATCTTTTTTTTTTTCTCTTTGTTCACTCATATAGAATGTATGGAGTAGGGAGTGAATGGTACATTTTGAACCTTGAACAGTGTTTACATACCACATCAAACGTTAAAAAGGGAGGGAAATTCAGTTTTCCAGGATACGGGCCCTTTAATGACACTGTAGTGACTTGATTCGTACGTACATGAAGGCAGTATCTGCACTGTGTTACAGTAAAACCTACATTTACAAATGAGACAAACGTATAAAGCTGGTTTTGCTTCCTTTCTCAAAATCAGCATCAACAGACTGCGAGCAGTGTCCACTCCTCCTGACCACTAAGGGTTAGTCCCTAAACTCTTTTAACCTACAAAATGAAAGTTTATTATTCTGTTATTAACCTTAAGAGTATCCAGTATTACTGTGAATTATTCCATAACGGCTATGAATCTGACTTCTAGGTTACTTAAGAAGCAGCTCCCTTTAAAGGAGAATTCCACCAATTTTTCTAAATTTCTCCCTAATTCAGTGTGTGAGATGTAAACAGAGTGATTTGGAGTGTTTTGGCGTGAAATGGTTCAGACTTCTTTACAGTTGTGGTGATAGGAACCAGGGGTCGCCATGACTACAACACAGATATAGACATTTTATTTACTTTTCAAAAACCACCAGTGAACCTACACGAGTCTTCTGAGGGTATATGGAATGTTGATGATGGGAAAATAGCCATAAATCTGAAAAACAGGTTTTCTTTGGGGACTATTTTGCCTCACAGCGCCCTGCATGTAACCCCTCCACCTAAAATAAATAGATTAAAATACATTTTAAGCCAAAACGTTATCACAAAACAGTGTCTCAGACATCAGGCAGTGAATTCATAACCATTACATGTACTAATTTTCTGTGAGGGAGCTTTTAGAGGTGGACCTCTCGTTCTTATCACCACCACTATAAACAGTTCTGACTTTAAGTTTCTCTAGAACAGATCATTTCACACCGAACCACTCTGAATGATTGTTTATATCTTAACCACTTAACTATGCAGAAATTTCGAAAAATCGGTGGAATTCCCCTTTAAAGCGCCTCCAGCCCTAAGATCTGCCTCTCATCATTTTGGCTAAACTTCACCAGCACCACTTTCTAACCAAATAGACTCTATTAGATTCCCGCACGGTGGCGCTAGCGATCCCGGTCGCTCTCAGCCTTCTATCCCAATAGAACGCGCTCATTCCCGGGCTGAATGTCTCTCACCTGGGCGCTGGAGCTCCATGCTGCTGCGCGGAGGCTGGAGGCTGAGGGAAGGCGTCGCTGCTGCTCGTGTAGCCGGTCAACACGACGCCCTGCACGGCCTGCTGGCGGCTCATATTGCGGGCAGCATTACTGGAGCTCCCCGACTGGACAACAGACTCTCACCGTCCCTCACTTACTCACTCTCTCACTCGGCGCTGACTCTCTCACTCAGCGGCCTTCGACTCCTGAACGAGTCGCTCTGTTGAGCCGGTTCTTTGCTCTGAATCAGTCGAACCGATTCATACGTCCCTACTGAATCGAGTTCTTTTCGGAGCACGTCTGCGAGAGCCTCGCGTGAAAGAAGACTTGTACTAAATCTCAAACAGCACTCTATCACAGTTTAGCCTCTTAGAATGGCACGGGCTAACCTCAAAGGACAATTCCACAGATTTTTCAAAATTTGTGCATTAAGTGTTTGAGATGTAAACAGAGTGATTGAGTGTGGTTTCGTGTTAAATGGTCCATTGAAAAGACTGATTTCTTTACAGATTCTCTTGCAGTTGGAATGTTGATAGTAAAATAGTGTAAAATCTTAAAAACATAAGTTTTTTTTTTTTTTGGGGGGGGACTATTTTGCCTCGCAATCTTTATCTCCACCGTGAAGATTTGATTTGAGTAGTCATTATTAGAAGAAAAATGTTATGTTTATTTGAGTATGTTTATCTGAAAAAAATTAAAGATCCACAATTTAGCCTGACTTTGGTATCAAAAATAGTATAAAATGTCGATATATTTCTACAGAGCCCTGCTGGTCACATCCCATATAAATAAAAATAATGCGTGGCCATGAATAAGTAGGGCGTGGGAATGAGATAATTAAGTCTTGACCACAGCTTAATGAGGCATGTTCTCGTTCCCATGACTTAATTATCTCATTCTAATGCCTTACTGATTTGTGGCCACGCATTAGGATACGTTTTAGACCGAAAAATTCTATCACAAAACTATCAAAAACAGTGTCTCAGACATCAGGCAGTGAATTCATAACCATTTCATGTAGTAACTTTCTGTGAGGGAGCTTTTAGAGGTGGACGTCTGGTTCCTATCACCACCACTGTGAACAGTTCTGACTCGGTAAGTTTCTCTAGAACAGAGTGTTTCACACCAAACCACTCTGAATGACTTTGTTTACATTTTAACCAATTAATTATGCACAAATTTTTAAAGATTGGTGGAGTTCCCCTTTAAGAACTCACAAAGGCCATATCTGCACATTGTAGCCAGCTAGTTCGTACTGTTTTGTGTTTGTAGTACACTCAGAGTCTGACTAATAGACATCGCAGAGAAAATCTTCCTCCTGAGACAGCTGAAGAATTAACCTACCGCAGAGCTTGATGATCCAGTTCTACACTGTGATCATCAAGTCCATCCTCACATCATCCATAACCATCTGGTTTGGTTCCTCCACCTCACAAGAACGAGCCAAACTCCAGCAGGACAGTGGAGAGGATCATCAATGCAAGCTGCCAGAGCCTCAGGACATCCACACACTTAAAAAGGGTTCTTTACTAAAGACAAGATATAGATATAGATTCTATAGGACCACTGCATGCTTAAATGGTTCTTTGCATGGTAAAATGGTTCTTCAGATTGTTGGAGAATGTGTTGTATATGGTTCTGTAGAGCACCAAAAACGGTTCTGCTATTGTTATGATGTCAAGCTTGTAACAGTAGCAGGCCCTGTGTGATGCCATATAGAACCATATGTAACACATCAGTCTGAAGAACCACGTAAGTATGCAGATGGTTCTTTGAGTGTTCATGGTTCTACATAGAACCACTGTCTTTAATAAAGAACTCTTAAGGAACCATCTTGTAAAGAATGTATGTTATTCTATGTTATTTTATTCTATTTTATTCTTATTCTATGGCGCCCTGCTGGTGGCATTCCGTGTAAATAAAAATAATGCATGGCCACAACTTAGTAAGGCGTGGGAATGAGATAATTAAGTTGTGACCACGACATGGTAAGGTGTGGGAATGAGATCCTAATGCGGCCATGACTTAGTAAGGTGTGGGAATGAGATAATTAAGTTGTGACCATGACTTAGTAAGGTGTGGAAATGAGATAATTAAGTTGTGACCATGACATGGTAAGGTGTGGGATTGAGATCCTAATGTGTGCCCATGATTTAGTTAGGCATGGGAATGAGATAATCAAGCTTTGAACACAGCTTACCAAGACATGATCTTGTTCCCACACCCTGCTAAGTCGAGGCCACGACTTAATTATCTCATTCCCATACCTTACGAAGTCGTGGCCATGCCTTAGGATCTCATTCCCACGCGTTAATACGGCGAGGCCACGCATTGTTTTTATTTACACGTGATATTATTAGTCTCTATTCTATTTATTGTATTTTATTGTATTTGTCTCTTAGTTCAATACAGTCTCTGTGCTGTCTGGTCTGTTCGGTGTGTTCATGTCATACATGTGTGAGTCACAAACACAAACCCCTTGTATGTGAAACATACTTGGCGAAATAACGTGATTCTGATTCTGATTCTGATTCACACCGTGGCTGGTTACTTGTTCTGTTTTATGTGTTGTTCATTCAGAGTCTGACAATGTTAACAAGTAGAAGTTATCAACTTATGATTCACTGAATCACTGATTCGTAAAGCCGCTCTACGGAAGAGATAAGAGCCTTACTTGACTCACGAATCAATGAATCGCTGAATCGAACGTTACGTTCAGTTCGAGGGAATCGGTTCGGCAAAAATGAATCGAAGTCACACTCATACCGGCTTCTCTGCGCATGCGTGACTCCACCCCTCCGCCTTCTCCGCCTATGGACGATTGTCTCGGGTCTCTTTGTGTGAATGAGAACACAGCGCCACCGCGCGGATCTCCGCTGAGCTCAGACTGAGTGTGTGTCTTCAGACAGTGCTGTGTGTGTTGAAGATGAATGGGATAGAGAGAAAGAGCTGAGGCCTGACTGTGGTGTAATTAATGAAGTTGTGTGTATATTGATATTATAATGTTATAATTGTATTATAATGTAGTATCATAGGGAATAAAACTGCTTTAAGTCTATCTATCTATCTATCTATCTATCTATCTATAGTCATATGCAAAAGTGGTCAAATTACATGCTGTTGCTGGTTTTCTGAGTGTGAATAAGTGAACACGTCCTCTACAGAGACACACTTCTGCACATTTAATACAAAATTACTGTTTATTTACTGAATTTAAAATATATTTACTGCCAAAAAAAGCAAACAAACAAAGAAGCAAGTATCTCCATTTTTCTCAATGTTTATTTTTCTTCACTATAGACCAGCCGCCCTTCACGTTCTGTTAAACACTTCATGATGAATGGACCGACAGAAATGATCCAAAATGGCTTGGAATGAAATCTCTTTACATTAAATTACATTGAAAATAAAGAACGTTTTTACCTTCTACTGTAAAGTTTCCATTTTGGAGATTAATTAATTGATTATTTATTAATTAATTAATGTATTTATTTATTTATTTATGAACAGTGACAATATTGGAAAAAAATAAGACATAAACATGTTCAACTCATCAAAAAACTAACTGCTGTTAGTTTTCACTGCTGTTATTCACACTTAGAAAATTAGCAAAACAACATGTAGTTTGAATTTGAATGGGTTGGAGGGTTCAAAAATATAATTTGTTTTCATTCATTTTCACAATACATGATATGAATCAAGATGTTTGGTTTTTCTGAGATTTAATAAGTTGGAACAGACAAAATAGAACCTGTAGTGCTGCATAAAGAATACTATAATAGCAATGATAATAAACCTAAATAAAGTGCAATGATTTTTAATTCAATGTTTCATAAACAATTAAACAGGCCTAATTATGCTCACCTTATACACTTAAAAAAGGGTTCTTTAGTAAAGAAAATGGTTCTATATACAACCATGAACACTCAAAGAACTCTTTGCATGCTTAAAGGGTTCTTTGCATTAATGAAATATATGAAATATATATATATATATATATATATATATATATATATATATATATATTAACACTGCTGATATGCCTAATATTCTAATGAGCACCCATGATTGACATCCTTCAGTAAAACACTTCAGCCTGCTACACCACTGAAGAACGAAACATAAATGAGTAGAAAAGAGTGAAATGATCGCTACATGTACAGGTGGTGGTGCAGACGCTGCTGTGTCCACCCACTAAAAACCTTATCCAGCTTTCATAAGGAGACGCCTTAAAGAACGTTCTGGATGTGCATTCAGGGAATTCTAGCTCAGTTATGCTTGCCTGGTTAGCTTTCGCTTGGTGGTTAGCTCCTCGGTGAGTTTCAGTGACTATAACAGAGAGAAAGACACAGTCTTGTTAAAGCTATGAGGGGAGGAAGACCCACATCAGCCTGGTGATTGGTGAGGTCACTGATTAATGCACTGCTCAAGATGAGGACTGTCCAGTTTACATTGAAAGAGAAGAATTTGGGCAAAATCAATAGGCCACTCACTGGACACTGACAGTTATGCACAGCACAGGCTTTGTACGTGTATATTATGAGCTCACAAGAGCAAAACTAACCTGCATTTCAGTTCCTGGAGCTTTAAATGGCTTCACGGTAACACTCACACACACACACACGCACCCTCACACACACTCACACACACAGCTGAGCATCTGAGACTATAATTAGTGTGATTCTGCTGGTCCATTAGCAAGAACCCACAGGACACAGACTGTCTAATGTTACAGCCCTGTTTCAAACAGAACATTACAAGGTGCTCTGTGTACATACAGACAGCGCTACACAAACAACTCCTTGTTTATTTCCTTTCCAGTTAAAACAGCCATTAAAAGGGGAACTCCACCCATGTTTCAAAAATCCTACATAATTAAATGGTTAAGATGTAAACAAAGTCATTCAGAGTGGTTTGGTGTGAAACTGCTCCATTTTAGAGAAACTTGCCGAGTCAGAACTGTTCACAGTGGTGGTGATAGGAACCAGACGTCCACCTCTAAAAGCTCCCTCACAAAAAGTTACTACATGAAATGGTTATGAATTCACTGTCTGATGACTGAAACGCTGTTTTATGATAGTTTTGTGATCAAATTTTGGTATTTTAATCACTTTATTGTAATCTATTCATGGTGGAGGGATACATAAAGAGTGCTCTAAGGCAAAATAGTCCCCAAAGAAACCTTATG